AATGACTACCTATATATACAGACTGAAATACCCCTCCTCGATAAGGTTCTCTCTATGACCTGTCAACTCAGACTCTCCGACAATCGCCTGTAGATCCTTGATACTTCTGTAACCCTCATGAACTCTCAGTAGGTTTCAACAAGGCTCAATGTGAATCATCTAGGTTCCCTGTCATCCAAGATCTTCCCAGGAACCCCCCTTCGTATAATTGCCTGCGCTAGACAGCGTAGGCTACAGGAACCCTTAGGCTTGACAGCCGTCACACTTAGAAAGAGGTTGAGGACTCAGAAGATAGTGGTGAGTGCTGTATGGTTGAGAAGTCGTCAAATGGAGAAATGCATGTGTTTGCTTTCGACTTCGATTCTGGTGCGATTCTTCTTGGCTATCCCAGATATGCAGAGCATACTGAGCGATTACACCGGCACCACTGGAAGGTGAAGAATTCGCCTTTGCCGGCCTTAAGAGACTGCATGTTGGATAACTTGGGCCTCCTTCGAGTTGCGTTATTAATCAATACCAATTTGCTAATGTGAGACGCCACCCAATGCAATACTTTTGCGTCGGCATTTGCATGGTATTCACATGTCATCGAACCCGGCAGTAAGGCACTGCGCCATATGTTGATAGGCTTACACTGACTGGGAATATACGAGACCGATTACAATCCCTCCGGACCACAACGCGATATTGCTGTTTTTGTTTTGTTCATTTACGTGCTAGGTATAGTGACTACTGCTGCACTCCTGCTGGAGCTTAAGCACGGGTGGGGCCGGGATGGATCAGGTTAACTACCATTAAGTACATCTACCACGTCCCACCTAAATGACATGACCACCTCAGACTTCACTCATGTGTTGAATCATGTCAAGCCCAACCGTCCAGAGAATCCCCTTTTGGCGCGCCGAAGCGCAAATACCTCCTCAGCCCCGGCCACCACGCGTCCGAGCCCTTGACAACTCCGCGATTTATAAAATTTCCCTTCGCTTCATTCCCAGCTTTGGCTCATCTTAGCATCTCCTCATCTCATCCAGGGGTCGTTTTCTTCACTGGAAGCTTCATCCAGTCCCCCACCAAGGCCTCCTCAGTTTGTGTTCCCTTTTGTTCCTTTATGCAGTATCTCTCTGTCCTTCAGGCAATCTCGTCATCCTAGAAAATTTGTTGAATGTCCACCCCTCAGACCTTGCCCCGTCACTGTCGTACGTATTTCATCGGTGGCGATTCGTCGCAGGTCGAGTTGTTGGTGCCCTTGGCCGAGGTGGGGACGCATCTAAGGCCGGTATTTCGACCGTACCTTCATAGCGACTGGCAGTTGTGTAGGGTCAGACATCCTCTTGCTTCTTTAATGGCGATTTGGCTTTTGTAGATACGACATTGCTTTGGTATGTGATGAGATGTTTGTGGAGAGGGCCGCGAGATGAGTTTGGCTGGGAATGAATTTCCAGACAAAAAGAAAATAGTATCTTGAAGGTGTCGGTTGTTGTGATCTGAACATCAGACAGGTTATTGGCTGTCTGCGGTTCGTATCTGGTGTGTAGATGGTTGATTTCGTCGAGTTGTGCAGTCGTGACATCTCTGCAAGTCGGATTTTCGACTAAAAATTTGCCAACACCACTCCTCCCGATTGCCAACTCGACGAAAACTCTCAAATCCACCCTTTGTCGTGACTGAATCTCGGCTCTGGGAGAAAATTTCGCTCCCAGGTTCGTAGTGGACACCACTGACAGGTGCTCAGCCTTCGTCCTCTGCGAAAGTGTTGTATTACAGGTATTGTCAGCACACTAGGAGAGTGTCAGGTAACTGGGAGCCTGACCTGTGACAGGCGAAGTGTATGTAATTAAAGTAAAAGATAACTCAGTAAAAACAACTTGATTTCTATTTCTCCCGGAATTCTAGGACTATATACACTGATCATGATTGACTTGATCTCTTGATCACTAAATATAGACATGCGCTAGAAATAGAATAACCTGCAGTTCTAAATACAGAATTGAAGCACTGACCGAAACAAATAACCCACGTATGTATGGACAGTCCCTATTTTTGAACTGAGACATTTCTTTGTCCAACTTCTTCGGTGGTTATTCTTAGCCGTTGACAGAGAGCCCCATAGCATAGGAAAAGGAGAGGGATTAGCCTCAGTGGCTACGAGGCTCTCACGTATATAAATGACTAGATAGACGTAGTGAAAGTTCTCTCTTTAGAATTATTATTAACTGACTATTGACCACAAAGTTGCTTCAACCCCTGTCCCTCGACACCGTGACAATGGTCATGTTTAGTTTGCGACATGTAGAATAGCAATAATGATGCGGGGTCAGTACTGTTTTAATCCCCGCACAATGGTTTCGTGGTCATCTGTGCTGAAGACTTTTCACTGTAACAATTGTTGTTTGCATACCCAATTTACCTCTAGGATATGCACACATAAATTCACGTTTTACATGTAACTTAGAGCTTTAATGGAAACAATGTTCTTTGAGCTACACTTTCTGCTCCTCTTACTCTGAAATCGCAACAGATAACCCCATAGGTCTTCATTCGAGTACACCCTAAGAGAAGCCGTTATCCCATCATTATCTCCCCTCTCCAGCCAACGAAACGATGACCATTTGCGGGTGTGTAACTGCAAGAAAAAAGCATCAAAATCCATTGGGTGCGGGGCTCTCCTGTGACGAAGAGGCCGGCCAGCCGGGCGCAGCAGACCTGTGTATACCTAAGTGCGTCTCTCAACCTTGCTAGCCTCCTCCTTACTTCTCCCTTGATCCATGCCACAGGACAAACCGAAGATCGTGAAAAGATGTCAGAAAAGTCTTGGTCGAGAGTGACTGTAGTGAAGGAGCCTAGCCCAACATCCTAAAGTCGTTACGGGGGTGGGGTCATCTAGTAACTCGTGTGCTTCAGATGCCCTCCTGATTTGTAGATTCGGAGGTATAGATTAGTGGGGACGATATTGTTGACGAGTCGAAAACTGTTTTTCTTGAGGGCGGAAGGATATTTTACTTTGCTTTCGTGGACTTTTTGTTCGCCCGCCGGTGGGTAGCACATGTTGTGATAAAACGAGGGCTTATCTGACTACTGCTGTAGCGTTTGAAACTGCTTTATCTTAGCTCATTCTCAGCATCATTATCATCGTCTTGGTCATCTTATGTTTTATCGGAAGCGTATCTTTGAAGGAGGGGAAGAGTACTCAGCTCAAAGTTGACAAGATGTTACTCAATCTTGGCTTTGTAGACTCTACAGTGAGAGCTGGAGGTTAGTAGAGGGGCACCATTGGCAGATGTTGAGAATGTTGCCCGTGAGGTTAGCAATAAAGATAGGTAATTTGAGAAAACTTTGAATACTTTCATGAAAGATATAATATTCTCGAATAATACAAAGATATTAAAAATGATTACGTGAATAATTTATTTGATTTATAAAATACAAAGTACATTAAAGTTGTGCCTATATTCTTTTAGTAAGTTTCCTCTAAGAACCTATACAAAACTTCCAAAAGTTTTGCCGGATTTTAACCAGCGGTGTCCTGTCTCGAGTGGAATATGCTTCCTAGATATCCAGATCTTACTTGGGATATCGGCCAAGGTGGTAAACCACCGCACGATAAAATCATGGCGGTGTTTATAATGTCTCCTGCACTCTCGCAACCGAAGTCTTGGCGCACGCATATGCCAGATTCAAAAATCTCAGAGTCAAATTTCCAAATTTCACGCACGTCAAGGTTAAAGCCATCTTCTATATAATCTTGTAAATTTGTCCTGATTTCTCTCACGTCCATCCCAAAGAACTGTCTACCAGATTTGTGCGCCACGCTTTGTTTCCTCCGTCGCGTGTGGATATCGGCGTGGGCGTGTATTTGGTGACAAGCTGGGGCCAGGGAAAGTGAGCGAAAGTTGTGATTATTGAAATGAGAATGTACCTTGTCATACTTGTAGACTTTTCGGGGTTTTGATGAGGACATATCTTATTGGGTCCGAGAAATTAGTACGGCGGAGTATTTTGAATCATTGCCTCATGGGCCATTTCTTTGGTATTGCGAAAATTAACTTAGCTCGAGTCTGGGAGAATTATTCACTTGCAGGTTCATAGAAACTACCAAGTACAGGTGTTCAGCCCCCGTTCTCCTACCCGCCCCTCTCTAGAGCCTTCATCAAACCAATGTAGTTGGGACCTCAGCAGCCTTTCTTAACAACTACTGTATAGTACATAAATCATGTGACACTTTTCAAGAAATATTTAATGTCTAATTAAGAATTTGCGGACGTGTCTACACATTGATCCATCCATTCCAACAACTCACATTCCTCCAACTTATCTTTCCAAGCCAAACTTTTTGCATTAACAATTCAAGAAATGGATCAGTTTCATGATGTTTTCCTATTACTTACCCAGAACCCAATAAACCATATTATCGACCAATTTCTAAAAGACCGAAAGCAAGCAGGAAATCAAACTGGTAGAGCTATGACCTAAATACCGCAAATCAGACTAACAGAGTAGCTATTTTAAATTTGTATAAGCACTTATCAAATTACGTCAAAAAGCTGGGAGCCAATAAAAGTATAATGAAACTAGACAGATTATATAGTGACATTATTATACGAATCAAGTATGATGATATTTCGCTAAACGTATTTAATCGTCTTATTACAGCAATTGAATCTAATTCGGAAGAGCATATTATCTTGAAAACAGCTATTGAAATTGTCATAGCTAATCCAATTGAAAATGTGAAACCACTAGCCAGTAAACCTTTGTCATCGCCAAAGCCATCTGCATTAAACCTCTAACGAAGTGTTTCAGAATCGAAAGATTATGATCAGAACATCGCTTCACTTACTGTCGAGCTAAGAAATGGACTTCAAGACAACGTAACCACCGATATCAAGAACATGTGGACTGTGTTTTTTGAAGGGAGAAAATGGTCTTCTCAAACGAAGCGTATTTGGGAATCTTACGAGAAGCGTGATAAAAGCCTGAAACGTAAGAGCTTCAATCGGGTAATGACCGAGGATCAAATATGGGGATGGTTAAAAATGTTCAAGGATAGGTTTTTGAAACGGATTCCAGCATCCGAGGCCAGACCAATTACTGAAGGGTCTGCTATTGGCAGGAAGAATAAAAATTTTCAACTGAAAGGGCATTATTGTCGAACAGTTGGATCAGGACAGTTGATTGGTTCACGAAGCCCGCGGCAACTCGACTTCCTCATAAAGAGTATTGACCTACCTCTCGATGCAGTAACTGACTGGAAAGATATCGGCGTCATCGGTGAGTTTAGTGTGAAATCTGTTACAAATGCAAGGAAAGAAAAGTTTGATCAACTAACCAGATACGCGCGAGAAATATTCTGTTCGCAGCCACTGCGCCGATTTCTCCATGGATTCTGCTTATACAAATCAGACCTTGAGCTGTGGCTGTTTGATCGCTCGGGCGCATACAGCACGGGCCTGATAAGTATCAAACATAGCCAGGAGTACTTGGTGCGAGCCATTTCCTCCTACCTTCTTATGAGCAGGGATGAGCTTGGTTTTGATAAATCTATAAAGGAAAAAGACGGAGAATACTTTGTCCTGGTAAACAAAAAGGGTTCCAAGGGCTCAAAAAAATTTAACATCAACCCCGTGCCTGTTGTCCGACCAGAGACATTGGTAACTCGTGGCACCACTTGCTTTGAAACGATAGATAAGGATAACATCATCAAGTATTCGTGGAATAGGGATCCAGGAAATACCGAAGTTAATCTTTTGAAAGAAGCAAAGGGGACAGAAGGCGTCGTCGAATACGTCATGTCCGACAAGATCTGGCAGATCAAAAATCATGTTCAAAAACTTGACTTCTCGGGTGCTGTAGAATGGAGCATGGCTGGCAAAAATAAGTTCATCTCCAAGGGATCAGGACCCCGGAAACCAACTCTACAACCATTCCAAAGAGATCGACATCTCACCAGAGTTGTTGTCACACCACGTGGACGCCCCCTACACTGTAGTAGGACGATTCTCGAGTTTCTCATCGTAATAAGAGACTCCATTGTGGCTCACCGGCGACTTTATTTTGAAAAGGACATTCTTCACTGCGACATCTCTGAGGGAAATATTGTTTTAGTAAGGCCAAATGGGGACAATAGCATACAAGGGATGTTGATTGACCTTGATCATGCTGTTTCACTCAACGATGATCGGAAAAAAGATGACAATAGTCTATTGACAGGAACCATGAAGTTCATGGCGCTTGAAAGATTAAGCTATGCTGCGACATATGGTTCAACAATTCAATGCACGTATCGTCATGACCTAGAATCGTTCTTTTACGTGTTTCTTGTGGGGTGCATAGAGTACGAACGCAAAAATAGTTCGAAGGAGGTAATAAAATTGCAAATGTGGTGCTCGAACAATATAAGCAGCAATGAAAGCGAAAAAATAAAATGTTTGACATATTTCCGCATGCACATTTTAGATGTATTCTCGATAAGTTTTTCTGATTTGAAGGACTTAGCTATAAAGTTACGAAATATATTGTTTGGGGAGGCCATTCCGGAACTTGGCACACCCGATGATCCCAATCCCATGTACGATGGAATGATAATGGCATTTAGCAACACAATAGAACAAATAAGAGGTAAGATAAACCTTCCACAATTTGAACTAGCTGCTCAATTTGTCTATCCTTGCTAACCCAACATCAATCTATTAGGAGGTAAGATCATGAATCGAACAATCACTCTGAAACACTGATAAAGCGTAAGTTGGACAATTATGAGCGAGGTTTATATCAGCATTTGTTTGACTTAGTTATTTATGGCATGATGACAAAGATGACTTATTTTTTTTATACCATGTAAACAATGTAGCTTCTATATGTAAATATATATGACGTACTAAATAGAATAAGTCCCAAAATACCTAGAATATGAAGGAGTAAAACTGGTTGTGATTTATTCGCCGTGTGATGCCTCGCCTTCTCCAATCATCCAGATCATCCAGATCATGTCAGTATATAACCAATTCTATAATCGTTTCAGTCATGCAACCGAATTTCTACTAGCTTTATTATAATTTGATTTTGATTTCAGATACCGATTTGGCGCCCTTTGGGCCCATGCAGGTGTCTATAAACTCTATCTATAGATATTTTACAGGAGTGGGAAACCTTCCGATAAAACCCCCTACTCCTTCAAATTATTTCTGTATTTCTTCTGTAATCTACATGAAGCGCAATATGCCCTTGGTTTGAGACAGGACTAGCTAAAATTGTAGGTGACCTTGTCATCCTTTCCCTGCCCTTGCGTGCTGAAAAGACATGAATGTGGTCTGAAGCTAGACCCCGATGGTGCTGTTAGTGGAGGTGATGGGCCAGTGGTCACGGGATGGTTCCGCGGGTGCCCCGGCCCTCTCTTGCCGACATCTGCCTTCTGATTGGACACCAGTGTGAACATATGGTCGTCTGCTTTTCTTTTTAAAAAAAAATCATTTAAGTTTATTCAGCTATCTATCTATGACATATGACCGGTGCTATGTATACATTTAGGAAGAGTCTTTTGACATTAGAGACACTCATACTCTGGATTTCATTCGTAAATACCACTATGAGGTATGCTTCCTTTCACAAACAGTCGACCCTCCTCCGTATGTACCCACGAAAGGGAAATCCATACCTTTTGATTATCCAAGTATTCCTTCGTCATCTATGCCTACTAGCGCCGCGAGAAAAGTGGTTGTATTTTTGTGATTTTGAATGAGCGATCTACTGTCTCGAGTGGCATATTTGTCCAAGCTATCCAGACTTTAATTGGCAGACCGGCCAAGACGATGTACCACCGCACTATCCAACCATGGCGGTGTTTATAAAGTCGCCTGCACTCTCGCAACCAAAGACTTGGCACCCACAAAGCTCAATTTATAAAAACTCCTTGCTACACTCCAGAATTTCACGCCCTTCGAACTTATTCCCTTCCTTTGCATTATCTTGTGAACTTGACCTGATCCTTCTCACGTCCATCCCTAAGAAATGTGTCACTGATTTGTGCACCACGCTTTGCTTCCTCCGTCGGGTATAAACATCGTCGTGGGCGTGTATATGGAGACCTGCTGAGGCCAGAGAAAGTCGACAAGAGGTGTATTCATCGGGATGAGAATGTACTAGGTCGTACTTGTAGATTTGATACGGCTTTGGTATGAATCGATCTCGTTGGGAGTAAAACCTTGACATGATGGAGTATTTTATCTCATTGCCTCGTGGGCCAACTTCATTGGTATTGAGAAATTTGACTAAACCTGGCTCCGAGAGAATATTTCATTCTCAGATCCGTAGAGGACACAGCGTACAAGTGTTCAGTCTAGCCCTCCTAAGGGTAATGATCATTTGGAGTCAAAGAACACATGTAAAGTTGGGTCCATGATAAGGAGAGGAAAAATGGAGCACTAAATGGAAAGTGTCTCTAGACTATACTTCGAGACAGAGGATACTATAGGAGGGCAATACTGTACACCTGTACGCAGTGCTATCTACGAACCATGGAGTGAAATACTCTCCCGGAGCTAGGTTTAGTCAAATTTCTCAATACCAATGAAGGTGGCCCACGAGGCAATGAGTTAAAATACTCCATCATGTCAAGGTTTTACTCCCAACGAGATCGATTCATACCAAAGCCTTATCAAATCTACAAGTACGACCTAGTACATTCTCATCCCGATGAATACACCTCTTGTCGACTTTCTCTGGCCTCAGCAGGTCTCCATATACACGCCCACGACGATGTTTATACCCGACGGAGGAAGCAAAGCGTGGTGCACAAATCAGTGACACATTTCTTAGGGATGGACGTGAGAAGGATCAGGTCAAGTTCACAAGATGATGCAGAGGAAGGGAATAAGTTCGAAGGGCGTGAAATTATGGAGTGTAGCAAGGAGTTTTTATAAATTGAGTTTTGTGGGTGCCAAGTCTTTGGTTGCGAGAGTGCAGGCGACTTTATAAACACCGCCATGGTTGGATAGTGCGGTGGTACATCGTCTTGGCCGGTCTGTCAATTTAAGTCTAGATAGCTTGGACACATATCCCACTCGAGACAGTAGATCGCTCATTCAAAATCACAAAGATACAATCACTTTTCTCGCCGCGCTAGTAGGCATAGATGACGAAGGCATACTTGGATAATCAACAGATTTGGATTTCCCTTTCGTGGGTACATACGGAGGATGGTCGACTGTTTGTGAAAGCAAGCATACCTCATAGTGGTATTTACGAATGAAATCCAGAGTATGAGTGTCTCTAACGTCAAAAGACTCATCCTAAATGTATACATAGCACCGGTCATATGTCATAGATAGATAGCTGAATAAACTTAAATGATTTTTTTTAAAAAAGAAAAACAGACGACCATGTGTTCACACTGGTGTCCGATCAGAAGGCAGATGTCGGCAAGAGAGAGCCGGGGCACCCGCGAAACCATCCCGTGGCCACAGGCCTACCACCCCCACTAATAGCACCATCGGGGTCTAGCTTCAGACCACATTCATGTCTTTTCAGCACGCAAGGGCAGGGAAAGGATGACAAGGTCACACACAATTTTAGCTAGTCCTGTCTCAAACCAAGGGCATATTGCGCTTCATGTGGATTAAAGAAGAACTACAGAAATAATTTGAAGGAGTAGGGGGTTTTATCGGAAGGTTTCCCACTCCTGTAAAATATCTATAGATAGAGTTTATAGACACCTGCATGGGCCCAAAGGGCGCCAAATCGGTATCTGAAATCAAAATCAAATTATAATAAAGCTAGTAGAAATTCGGTTGCATGACTGAAACGATTATAGAATTGGTTATATACTGACATGATCTGGATGATCTGGATGATTGGAGAAGGCGAGGCATCACACGGCGAATAAATCACAACCAGTTTTACTCCTTCATATTCTAGGTATTTTGCGACTTATTCTATTTAGCACGTCATATATATTTACATATAGAAGCTACATTGTTTACACGGTATAAAAAAACAATGATCATCTTTGTCATCATGCCATAAATAACTAAGTCAAACAAATGCTGATATAAACCTCGATCATAATTGTCCCACTTACGCTTTATCAGTGTTTCAGAGTGATTGTTCGATTCATGATCTTACCTCCTAATAGATTGATGTTGGGTTAGCAAGGATAGACAAATTGAGCAGCTAGTTCAAATTGTGGAAGGTTTATCTTACCTCTTATTTGTTCTATTGTGTTGCTAAATGCCATTATCATTCCATCGTACATGGGATTGGGATCATCGGGTGTGCCAAGTTCCGGAATGGCCTCCCCAAACAATATATTTCGTAACTTTATAGCTAAGTCCTTCAAATCAGAAAACCTTTTCGAGAATATATCCAAAATCTCTTTGCGGAAAAGTGTAATACATGTAACTTTACCGTTATAGTTGTTGATAATATTGTTCGAGCACCACATTTGCAATTTTATTACCTCCTTCGAACTATTTTTGCGTTCGTACTCTATGCACCCCACAAGAAACACGTAAAAGAACGATTCTAGGTCATGACGATACGTGCATTGAATTGTTGAACCATATGTCGCAGCATAGCTTAATCTTTCAAGCGCCATGAACTTCATGGTTCCTGTCAATAGACTATTGTCATCTTTTTTCCGATCATCGTTGAGTGAAACAGCATGATCAAGGTCAATCAACATCCCTTGTATGCTATTGTCCCCATCTGGCCTTACTAAAACAATATTTCCCTCAGAGATGTCGCAGTGAAGAATGTCCTTTTCAAAATAAAGTCGCCGGTGAGCCACAATGGAGTCTCTTATTACGATGAGAAACTCGAGAATCGTCCTACTACAATGTAGGGGGCGTCCACGTGGTGTGACAACAACTCTGGTGAGATGTCGATCTCTTTGGAATGGTTGTAGAGTTGGTTTCCGGGGTCCTGATCCCTTGGAGATGAACTTATTTTTGCCAGCCATGCTCCATTCTACAGCACCCGAGAAGTCAAGTTTTTGAACATGATTTTTGATCTGCCAGATCTTGTCGGACATGACGTATTCGACGACGCCTTCTGTCCCCTTTGCTTCTTTCAAAAGATTAACTTCGGTATTTCCTGGATCCCTATTCCACGAATACTTGATGATGTTATCCTTATCTATCGTTTCAAAGCAAGTGGTGCCACGAGTTACCAATGTCTCTGGTCGGACAACAGGCACGGGGTTGATGTTAAATTTTTTTGAGCCCTTGGAACCCTTTTTGTTTACCAGGACAAAGTATTCTCCGTCTTTTTCCTTTATAGATTTATCAAAACCAAGCTCATCCCTGCTCATAAGAAGGTAGGAGGAAATGGCTCGCACCAAGTACTCCTGGCTATGTTTGATACTTATCAGGCCCGTGCTGTATGCGCCCGAGCGATCAAACAGCCACAGCTCAAGGTCTGATTTGTATAAGCAGAATCCATGGAGAAATCGGCGCAGTGGCTGCGAACAGAATATTTCTCGCGCGTATCTGGTTAGTTGATCAAACTTTTCTTTCCTTGCTTTTCTAACAGATTTCACACTAAACTCACCGATGACGCCGATATCTTTCCAGTCAGTTACTGCATCAAGAGGTAGGTCAATACTCTTTATGAGGAAGTCGAGTTGCCGCGGGCTTCGTGAACCAATCAACTGTCCTGATCCAACTGTTCGACAATAATG